AATGATTATTTCTGTGAATTGATAATCAATTCGTTTACTGCAGACGTTTTTACCGCCATTCAGAACACTATCTTTTGATACTGTGTGTTGGCCATGAGTTCAAATGCGTCGATTTCATGCAGTAGTAAAGTAGTTACATATGGTGGAATAATTCTGCCTTGCGCTTTTACTGGGAATCACGTTAGTGACAAGGGGAGAGAAGTGGTGCTTCATTAACTTTCATAATGAATAAAGGTAGTGGTCGCGATGTCTGGGGGTATTGATGACGTCTTTGAGCGTCGTTTGGACCTGCCTGCTTGGCGCGCTGGGTAAGGGCCACCTTTTAACGCCCACTAACGACGTTGAATGACACCACTAAAACGTTCCAAATCGTTTCAAAAATATGAAAAAATTTTCCCTTGCCGTTATACTTCATATATTTTCTTAGCCACTAAGCTTTGCGACAACGGCAGTCAGTGATGTTGTGGGTTCGGGTGCGTGGCTCTGCTTTTGTTAACCAAACGGTGAACTTAGGGATATGATTATGGTAGTTGCAAATACTCGCGATTTACGATACCCGTCTTTCGCACTAATTTCCTTTTGAGCTTTGTTTCGTAAGGACCGGTAATTTTTGCCAGAAGACTTTAAATTTGAAAGATAATCCACATAATAACAGGTGTCTGAACTCTGCATCACATTTTATTATATTGCATGAATACAAATATACCTTTAAATATCTCTTCAACTCCGAATGAAATGGAAATCTTTAAGATCAGTCTGAAACGTCCAGTCCTTGGCTTGCTGCGTACTTCCGTGAATTCCGAACAAGGCTGCTTTCCTTGCTGTCTTTCGAGTTTAGGAAACTGCCGATAAACCTCGGCTTGTCTCTGCTGCAAGTGAGGAACAAGGAAGTGTCGACGGCTTTGCACTGTGATAGGAAAAGTAAGTTTATAATCAGTTTTAGTTTCTCCTTCATCATTCGTTTATCCTCTGTTATTTATGTTGATGCTATCATTTCAGCCATCACTCGTGAACAGTTGGCAATGTTCTTGTCGAATGTGGATCTCAAACGGCTGTCGGAATATGCACGCAATTTGGTTGATCATCAAATGATCACGGATTTGCTGCCAACTGTGTCTCGGTTGTATTTTGGAGATCAGTTGAGGGAAAATGTATGTGTACTTAGCGTGGCACTGTTACACCACTGCTTCATTGTTTCGCATTAATTAAGGTCAAACTCTCAACGGTACAAGCTGCGGTATTGCTTGGACTTGGTTTGCAGCACAAGAGCGCTGAGAATGTCCAAGAGGAACTGGATCTTCCTCAGAGCCAGGCAAGCTTTTATGTTTTCAATTTTGATCTTACTTCTCCTTCATTACCTCGCCATTACTGGCAAATCATTTATTATCACTTCAACCTTTGCAGGTTTTCGCCCTACAGTCGAAGACAATCAGGAAGTTATCGGATGAGTTTGATACCATGTGTATGGATTCTATTCGTGAACTCATTCCTGATAAAACTCAGAAGATGTGACAAAGAACAGTCATCGATGGCTGTGCTCGCACCGAAACCACTAGCATTGAAAGTCTCTCGAAGGTTAACTTTTTCCTCCCTTTCATTGATCTAACTAGAGTGTTATAATACTATCCTTTTGACTCAGTCCTTATTTCATTGCCTTTCATTTTTTTTCATATAGGTTTTACGACCGTCATCATTTTCAGCGGCTTATTTTCAATAACATCAAAAGTTTTGATTAGAGTTTCTCACGCCAGGTCGATTTCAGTTTCATTTAAAGTTTCTTCTATTCGTTAGTCTCTTAGTCAGCTGGGCACTAACCACAAACTGGTTCAGCCTGCCCGTGATTTGGGAAGTAATTCAACAAATTAGTGGTCCAATATAATAGAAGTTGTCCAGCAGCTTCTTTTTGGGGTGGGGAGGAGGTCTATCATTTCGTGTTTCATCTTCGAAGGTTATTTTTACGTAAATTTCACTTTTGCGCCATACCGATATTTTTGAGAGGGATAAAATGAAATTAATAAGCTCAACTAAATGCTCATTTCGAATGATCATTGTCTGAGAACGCGTTTTGAATCCCTGTATAGCGTTGTTCCTATTTAAGAAAATTATTTGGCGCCCTCGGAGTGCAATACAAAGTAGGTGACTTCAGGACGAGCTGAATAAGGCTGCCGATGAGATCAGAGAGCGTCATCTGCGGGATAAGAAAGCGCTGTTGGAAGAAACTGAAGATCTTTCACAGTACGAAATCAATGTAGATACAAAGACTCTGGCTAAGGTAATTACATTGGCTCGTTTTTATAACTAGTAGATTCGAAACTTGGTTCTTTTTAAGGCCAGTGATATCAAGATGATCTACAGCCGCCCGTTAAGCGCTCCGAAACGGTTGGTCTTTCATTTTTGGGTTGTGCCCGCTCTTGATATAAAATAATCTCCTAATGTTAAGACAACAAAACGGTGACGACGGTTCGGCAAGGAAAAAGAAGAAATTGTTCAAAAAGAGAGGAGCGTAGAAAATGTCACCAATTTCGAATGTTGTAGTCTTTCAAGGTTTTTTTTTATTTTTTCTTACTTGTTAGATCCTCTGGAAAATTCGTAGCTGTGATTCTATAATCATTTGTTGAAATCTGCAAGATGATTAGAAAGTGTTTTTGATGGTTTCAATTACTTCCCGCTCTATTACTTACGAATACTCTATAACATTCTTGTTCGAACACGAATATTGAAAAACACGGAAATTTGCGCATTTTCGAAGTTGCTACTCCTCTCCCCCCCTTCTCAATACATCATCCTCAAACCCAAGCACATTGCTAGTTGTTTTGTTTTTCACCCCTGGGTAACCTCAGCCTGCGTGCTCATCCTATTCTTCAAAGACATTGCTTGATAAGTCAAAACATTAGTTTGAAACAAACATTAGTGAAATGAATCTCCGAAGAAAGCTAAAGAATATCAGAACACCACTTGTTGTTATGTGCACATTGTTTTTATTGTTGTTGTCTGTTGTCATGTTACCACCTTGTTACAGTAAATATTTATTATCTTACATATAAATACATAATATTGAGCTGAGAGGGTAGAATCGCGAACTCGTATTGATCACATGGGTTTAAAAGTGGGTGTCACTTCCATTCCTCAGCACATGGACGGCAGGCTGGTGTGCAGGAAATGTCCGAGCACTTAATTGCCTCCACAGTCCTCTTTGTGCCTATTAAGAGTAATCGGAATCGGATCGGCTATGCAAAATAAAAATTAGGCTGAAACTCCGAAAATTCCAAGAATTTTTACAAGACCAGTATGGAAATTTCTTGGGAGTCTACCCTGAATTGAAGTGTGGATTAAAGGACGCCATTTATGGTACGATGAAAAAGCAACCCATTCCAAATTGAGGTAGAGATGGTGAGTAGTACCAGAAAGAAAGCGAAACCACGAAAAACGGCCCAGAACCGGAGAAATGGGACCCCTTCCTTGTCCGTTGATTTGAGCATTGATGGGACTCTCATCGCTTTGCCCTCTTCAACCCTACGCTCTCTCAGCTATCTAATCACTCGCCACCTATTGTACTACGGCGAGTGATCAGACGATCGGTGGGCGGAGATCGCCGAACTCGCCAACTTTGAGCCATGCTAGATCTCAGAGGTCAAATCTTTCGATGCCGATTGCGTGTCTGTCCGCACCCTCAAGAGATTCACCGCTCTCCCCACTAGGCGATTTCTCCCTTCTTCGACCTTCGTTCTTTCCGTGCAATCCTCCTTTAAAGGCAGGTGCACTTCACCATTAGAATGAAGGTCGAGGAAAGATTTTCTTACAAGAAATGGTCTCGACGCGCCCGAAGCTACGGCCATAGCGACGTAATAAGGCTTTACCAATCCCACTACGGGTTTCTGTGCCTCTGCCTGCCTCCCAATATCTGCCAGTTTCTGGTCACAGGAGTCTAGTCCCTACATGGGTTATTCGTGGTTCACAGTCGATTCGGTACCGATTACTCAGAAACACACCACATCACTGAGAGGCAGGAAAGAGTTGGCTATTGGTCACAAGGTTTTCGTTACGCCGTTAGTAGCAGCCTGTCGTCCAGCCGTTGAGGAGTTTGAGTGAGCAAACCCAACGGAGATGCTTCCTGAATCGGTTGCTGCTTAGACAGTGCACAAATCACTCCTGTACATAATTGGCTGGAAACAGTCCGATTTTGGTGCCAATTTTCCCTTGCCACCATCCGGACTCATCTGAAAGTGAAATAAAATAATATCAAAGGGGACAAAGGGGAAATGGATTAGCCATAGTTCGACTTCAAGATATGAAAGGTAAAACTTTTGAAAGTGTTTTGGAACTGGGGCATTTACTGGTAAGAGCGAAACACAGACAAAAGCCTTTTTAGAGGTGAAAATTTGTCAGGAGAATACGGTATCTATGTGTCCGAACCGATAAAATCGATCAAACGTACGTTTTTGCATGAGTTCAATTTCGTCGTTGGCCGAAAACGACAACTCGTCCGTGTCCTGAGCATCGTAATCGTACATTGCTCTGACTACCGGATACATGCGGGGTTTTGTCGGTGGTTTCGGTTTATTAGGTCGTGGAGCTGGTCGAACGTCGGTATTCTGGAAGCTATTGCTTTAGAGCGTTCAAGGATAGACCGCGAGAGTCTAAGGATTGATTTTTCCCTATGCAAAGCACTCCATTTGACTAGAACTACATAAAACTATCAGTCAGCTACTGAAGAAATTCAGTGGGAAATTCATAGAGAAGCAGGGAAATGTGAAAGACAACACAACAATATTTAGGGTTGAATGAAAGCACGGAAGAGCTATACTTAAAGGCACATTCCACGCGAAAAAGACGTGCACTTAGGGTTCAAGTATACAACTATAGATTCTTATTTGGTCCGCCATCAAAAAAAGCAAAAAGAGGCGCCGGAAACGTAGAAAGTAACCCCCGCCTTGGTGGCGAATTTGCAATATTGTACGAGTTTACGTTGAGAAAAGTGTGCGCCTGTACGAGATATATGGTGATGAAGACGAGATGGGATTGAGGCAAGTGAGACGGAGAAACCAGGGCGGCATAGCTTTCAGGCGTGCATTGCAAATGAGCAGGTACTACGAGGAATATGGGTATTACGAGATTGCGGATCACCCATGAGGAAGTTATCGTACCCCTCGAATCGTCGCGTTGCCCTTTTGGAAGCGCCGTCCACTAACCGTAGGTGATGGACCCTGACCACTTACTTTTACCTTTCTCGTTTCCTTAGAGACGTTAAATCGTGGGAATGTTTTTGCGTAAAGCAAATTTTGGGAGCGCAATATCTAAGACGATTTCGATAAGTAAGAATCTACTTACTGTAGTGAGAACTTCGAATTAAAATCTTTACTGGAAATCCCGTTTTTCCCACGAATATCCGAATTCAGACATAGAAAGGTGAAGGAACTGGATAAAACTTAAAGACAAAAGGCAAAGCCAAGATCAAAGGAAGCGTATAAATTTCTTCTATGAATTGGGTGCTTGCTCTGTTAGAACTCCCGCGGATGCTTCGCAAGAAAGCTTGGTTTTTTTACCCTCCTTGGAGAAGCCGCACCCCTTAGCGGTTAGGCGAATGGATAGATTTCGAAGCCGCGGCGCTAAGCAAATCCACAACAGCTGCTAAATATGCCGATGATCATTTTATGAACCAAGAAAACTTGTTTCTCCACTCATCACCAACGGGAGGCGGTCATTACCCTGTGAAAGTCGCAGCATGAGTCTTTTAGCGTTGTGGTCCCTTTTTCTTCGAAGCCCTGTCAAAGAATGCAGCGAATATGTATGTCACTTTGCGAATCGCGCGATTCGCTAGCGTCTGCGGTCGCGTCGCGGCCAGTGAATCACTCAATTGGCTGGTACCGCAACGCGACCGCGGACGCTAGCGAATCGCGCGATTCGCAAAGTCTGACATCGGCCTAATGCTCCCGCCCTTCATGAAGTCCATATGGAACGTTTTTGAGTGTGAAGTGTTCTCTGGTAAATATGACCTCAATCGAAAAAGAGATGATCGACCGGAAACGTAGGGTACTCGCCAAGAGACCTGTCGCGCGGCGAGAAGGCAGAGACGCAGACGGGTCAGCGGACGAGTCGCAGCGCGTACTGCAGTGATTTCGCGTCAAGTTAATAGAATGTCTATAGTACGTCCCACATCACACAGCACGCGCTGCGACTCGTCCGCTGACCCGTCTGCGTCTCTGCCTTCTCGCCGCGCGACGGGCCTCCTGTCGGGTACCCAAAACGGAATCATTTCAATCATATGCTGTATTGAAATCGTAATTCTGAGTCGTTGAAATCATAACTCACTTTTCGTTCAATTTAGTAATGTGCTGTTTTTCCAAACATTATTTTACGCTAAAAATGTTTACTTCACTCACAGATCTCAGTTCTATTTGTCCATGAGGAACGAAGGCTGTTGGAACGCCACCATATCGAGTTGGATTCCCTGAAATCATTTAGCTCAACTCAAAGCTAGTCTGTACATTGAAGTGGATGAAAAAGCAGAGCATAACCAGGGCTATTTATCACAGAACGAGCCCCACCTACAGAACTGCCACTTGTTGTCGTCGATTGATTCCACGCCGCTATTGCGGCCGATGACCGATCAAGCCACTGATCAGGAGCTGGAAGACATGTTTGTCTTCACGGAGTCCGCCACACTTGTTCCGTTTATTCATATTTCAGTGGGAAACATTCCTGATGCTTCATTTATGCCTTCAAGGAGAAGACGCTAGCTAGTACGCGGATCCAATATCACGGAAGCCGCGATCGGGGTCATGAAAGAAGTCTACTACGCTCGTCATTGATCATTAAAGGAATCTTCCACGGAAAAAGCTCCGCCCTCATTACCACAGAAAACGATACCTTAAAGGAATCTTCCACGGAAAGAGTGATCATTTTGTCTTGTGTGTAGGATTAGTATTATCGAAACTAACGCTTATGTTCCGTTCTTTTTGCTATGCTCATGAGGCTAGGGGCCTAAGGTATTTCTGTTGGTAACTGAGCGGAGCTTTTTCCGCGGAAGATTCCTTTAACTTTTTGGAATGGACTACGACACACCATATTTTCCTCCCAAGTCGTAGAAGCATATGAATGCAATTTGAGCTTGCGAGTCTAGCTGATTCAATAGTCTGTGTACAGTTAACTAAGCAACGTTAGAGGAATCCCATAATACGAAGGTCAAAGAAGGGAAATTGCATAGTTGGAGACAGGCGGACCTCCTGGGAGCCTGACTGACACGTCAATCGGCAGCGAAAGGTTTGACCTCGGCGATACAAGCATGCTCAAATCTGGGCGCAGTTGGCGGGTCACGCCGACCGACTGTCTAACCACTCGCCAGCGGTCTATACGTGGATAGCCGAAAGAGCTAGTGTTTAAGAGGGACGGCGATGAGCGTCACCAATGCGCAAATCAACGGACAAGGAAGAGGGTTCCATTTCTCGGGTTTTCGGGCCGTTTCGAAATGATTTCTTCTTCATCCCTGCTCCACTGACCACCTCTCCCTCCTTGCTCCAATGAGCTAACTTTTCATCGTAAATTCTGATTTCAAACAGGCAAGGTCCGGAATTTCTGGTTTAAGGCTAAATTTTCCCTCTGAGATAATAGTAGCCCTTACGCTAGGCGAAAGCCGTCACGACTTTCGTAATACTCGCAAAGGCCGAGCGAGAAGCCCAAGATGCAGCGTTGGCCCCCATCCCCGACTCCCAATAGCCCACATAATCAGTCTTTAGTTAACTTTGCTTTGCTAATAAGATACAGTACTTTACTTTCAATGCTTGTCTGAGGTTTCTTACCCGTTTTTTTTCTTACGCTGCAACACATTACCATCTCCGCTGTCCACTTATAAGTTGTAAAAGCAATATACAATTTTATCCCGGATTTTTCCCTTTAGTTATGGAAACATTGGTCAATCTTGTTAAATCCCAACCCTACGTCCCCGATACCTTTCGATGGTGAACGGCGCCACTTTGTCATTACAAGCACCTCCACTTCCATGGGGTTTTATATTCTATCACAAACAAAGTTAGCGGGTGCTATTTGTTTGGTCCAAATGTAATCTTCACAGGGAAGTACAGAGTAACGTCATAAGCGTTTAACAGTAAACATTTCCCATTAAAGGCTGTAAGGACGCAACCTCTCAAACAGTCCTAGCAGCGCTCGTGTATACCCCCACCCCCTTATATAAGAACGATCTGCTCCCGTGCCTCGACAAGATCTAACCCCGAAGTCACAGCTTGTTTGGCGCATCTCACAGATTAGTTCACGTAAAAGACCTTGAATAAGCATCTCGGCGCTTTCAGATTTATGAAATGCGCCATGCGTTCCACTTCCCCATTCAAAACGTTACGACTTTGAATGCAAAGCGTCTTTTAATGCCTGAGCCACCTGAATGGACGGAAGACAGTGCGTGCTCATTTGTCCCAATTCTGAAACACATAGCTGATGCCTAGAGGGATGCTGGTCTGTGGTCCCAGGCTCAAAGATCGATACGCGGATTTTGATCTCGAACCAGTGTTGGTAACGTTTATCAAAATTGTGCCCAAAATTTGACAAAATGAAGGAATATGGTAGAAAACGTAAAGGTTGATGCCAAACGTGCCAAGTCTGAGGGATATGAAAAAAGGAAGCAGGAATCGCCGAAATGACTACCTCTAGTCAGGCAAAATGTGATTCCACAATGTATATATTATACCAGATTAGTCCCCCGTCAACCGCCGGGACCTTCCTTTCCTGCGCAAGCTTTCTATCCTCCGCTATGGTCCCTTCCTCCTGTGACACCAACACCTCCTGGAAGTGACGCGTATGCAACACAATGGTGTTTCATACAGTAGAAGGGACACAATCATGATATGACGGTAGATTTTTCGCTTCCCTTCCTCATCCTCCCTTCCTCTCTCCACTGCCCTCCAGCTGCCACTGCAGCACCATGTGGAATGAACGGAAGTGTGCTAAGCAGGTGTTTATATAGCCCTAAGAGTGTTATCACAACTATCCTGCTACAAAACATTGATATCTCAAATCCTGTAAGCTACCCGATTTGTTAGCGGTTTGTTTATCCCATGAGCTTCCTTCTCACTCACTTCATTTTGCGGACGGACACACATACATACACACACACACACACACACACACACACACACACATACAGATACACAAACCGACACACAAAGTTAGCGCTTTATAATAATAGAAGGATAGTAAAATGGTATAAAGATACTTGGCATGAAATTTGTTGAGTG